TCATAGACGAAATTGTCTTTATCTATGTGATAAAGAGAAGACCTTTCATCATAGAATAAGATCTAGATGATATGGGGGAGGGGGGGGGGGAGTTGTGGGTGAAGTTGTTTCTAGATAGTATAATGTCTTATATCAGAAAGTCATTCACATCATCATTTATCATCATATTGGAATCCATAAGTATTTTAACTTACTGCAACACGAAATCACTTGTGTCTAGATAGTATAATATCTTACATCAAAAAGTCATTCACATCATCATTTATTATCATATTGGAATCCATAAGTATTTTAACTTACTACAACATGAAATCAATTTTGTCCTCTATCTCACACTGGTATGCTAATTTATCATGAGATACACGTACTATTAATAATTTTCATGATTGTAATGACTAAATGTACACTATAACAAACAAGAAAGCCTGTATTTTGATTAGAAAAATCATTTCTAAAGAAGCTTCACTATTTCTTTCTTAATCTGGTTTAGTAAACAGGTCTCTAACTACTGCCCTAGCTTAAAATGTATCCCTGTGGATGCAAATGGAAACAAAAAAAAAAAAAGATAGATAAATGTTTTCCAAAATCTAAGATATCTTTATTCAGGATTTCTTCACATTATTTTACAGTTAATTTTACAATATTAAAAGTTTACTTAAATTTTTTTTCAAATATTTAAAGTCATCCTAAATATGGATTAAATTTTAAATGCAAACAGTATCCAAATATAAGAAATGATACCTCATTTGAAAATGTTTGTACCACTGCTACAACACAGCAACATTGTTCAAAACTATCATCATTCAAAACGTTTAAGACAGGGTGGATAATACAAATACACTACAGTTGCTCACTGTATTAAATGCAAGGATTTCTGATTATCACATATGACCATTAACTGATCACAATCTGATCTATAAATAATTCACAATGAAACCTTTGAAATCTTAAAGTTATACACAGTGAAACCTTTCTAATCCAAAACATTTTTAAACTCTAAAGTCTGAGTCAATAAACCCTGTGTAACTCATCACATCGTGCTGAAACCTTTTCCGTTTGAAAACAATCAGTTAATACTTATGTCAGAGATTTTTTTTTACTTGGGATGGAGAAATTTTGGTTCGTTTTGAGAGTAGAATTGGTGAATTTGGAAGGATAATTTCAGGTGTAAATTGCAAATTTTGAGAATTTGACCAAAATATAAATTAATTTCAACTGGGAATCATACCCAAAATCACTCAAAAAAAACCCCTGTTTGTATAAGCCTAGGGGCACACAGGTAATATTGCTCATAATTATCTCGTCAAAACGTCATCACTACTTCTTATTCATGTTCAGGGAGTGAACTTTAACAGAAAAATGAAATATTATTGGTTTGGTATTTTAGTGAACATCAATACAAATAGATGGGCTTATTATATGGAAAGATAAGACAAGATCATGATCAATCTCACCTGACAGCTCCATTGTGTCAGATGAGACAAAATTCACAGTACAATGTATTTCAAAATGTGTCATAAAGAGACTGATTATTAAAATTTACAAACCAAAAGCATTTGAATAAATCCTTAATAGCCATTTTATGTTATCATGATAGAGCAAACCTCAGACACCACCAACCAGTTTTGATGCTGCGTTCATCACCCCGTGAACAGCTAGGGGTATTTTGAAGATGGGTCTACATGTAGTAGCTGAAGGCTACTTTACTGAACAACATAAACGAGACTTGATAGGAAGCATCAAACCAAACATGTTGCATCGTCACTATGCCAGTGATCTACCAACTGAGCTATTGAGGTTCATTACCATCACCTAGATGCTATATATGTGTTTAATGATTGATTGATTGACAGGTTTTCCATCTCCGTGACTCCTCCCATGTCTGGGTATCGTCTCGCCGACAAACATCAGTGTTCTGGCGACATTCCTGTTTAATATTGCAGTACTATAACATAATACTTTATCACAAGTTAAAAACAGCGTAATACACACATTATTTTCAAGTTAGATGTAAATAGCATCATACAATTGTTATGAAGAAAAGAGTGTAACATCCTTGTTAAAAAGCTCATGTGTAAGATGGAGATAATTGAGGACTTTTTACAGTTAAAAAAAAAAAGAATTTGAATGATCCCCACATTTGTGATATGTGTGTATAGTATTTATCAATTGTTTACTAATTTGATTTTGCCTTGCAATTTTTTTTAACATGTCTGACAGATTCTCTTTCAAATTGCCACTCGAGTTATATCATCTTTGGCGTGTAATTTGTATGTGTATACATCAAAGGAACTAAAACCAGGAAGTGTGGCAAAAAATATTGCATTTCCCAGAAAAGAGAAAAAAGTTCATGGGCATTAATACTTATTACAACAAGACTGCCATGGACACAATATACGCTGCCACAAAATATAAAGATCAAGATAGAATGGCATAAATCTTACAAAAATCAATGAATCGTAAAATCACCCCTTCATGCACATCGAACCATTTGAACTATTGTATTAGCGACATTGAGCAAGTTTCATGAAAATCTGATGATTAGTTTAGGAGGAGTTGCGTTAACAAGAAATGGACACACGGACGTACGGACGGACAGACGAAGATGACGCCAATATACGACCGCCTCCCACGGCGTATCAAAATTATTAAGGATTGATTCTAAATATAAAACAGCAAATCCATTAAAAATAATTAATAGTAATGTATTATATACTTACCATGATAATGTGTATTAGATTTCAATGAATTTATATAAGTAATTTAGTATTTAAGTAAAAAAAATTAATGAAAACAGATAAACACCAGGTTTTAAGTACATATTCCCTTCCACTTCATTGTGAAGAATAAATATCACATTTGCTCACTTATAGCTGCAGCAAAAAACATTGAAAAAAGAAAGCAAAAAACAAACAAGAGGCCCATGGCCTTAACGGTCATCTGACAAAAAGCAAGCCAAACTCTAACAACAGTGAGTCTGCTGTTAAAACAGTGGGCTTTATTCATTTGAATAAACTTGGTAGCCCTTCCTCCCAACACCCTACAGGCCCAATATGAGCACTCTGAGCCTTTTGGTTACTGAGAAGAAGTTGTTTACAGATTTTAACATATTTGAACCTGTGATCTTGAAAGTGGGTCAAGGTCATTCACTTGAACACATTTGGTAACACTTCCTCAAAGCATCCTACAGGCCCAATATCAGCACTCTAATCATTTTGGTTATTGAGAAGTCATTTGCATATTTTAACAATTTTAACCCCTGTGACCTTGAAAGTTGCTTATTGAACACATTTGGTAACACTTCCTCAAAGCAACAGGCCCAATATCAGCACTCTAATCATTTTGGTTATTGAGAAGTCATTTGCATATTTTAACATATTTAACCCCTGTGACCTTGAAAGTCGGTCAAGGTCATTCATTTGAACAAATTTGGTAGCATGTAATCCCAGCATCCTACAGGTCCATTACCAGCACTCTTGGACTTTTGCTTATTGAGAAGAAGTCGTTTGTATATTTTAACATATTTGACCCCTGTGACCTTGGAAGTGGGCCAAGGTCATTCATTTGAACAAACTTGGTAGCCCTTCATCCCAGCATGCTACAGACCCAATATCAGCATTCTGAGCCTTTGGGTTGTTGAGAAGAAGTTGTTTAAAAATTTTAACATATTTGACCCCTGTGACCTTGAAAGTGGGTCGAGGTAATTCATTTGAACAAATTTGGTAGCCTTTCTTCAAAGCATCCTACAGGCCCAATATCAGCACTCATGGACTTTTGCTTACTGAGAAGAAGTTGTTTAAAAATTTTAACATATTTGACCCCTGTGACCTTGAAAGTGGGTCAAGGTCATTCATTTGAACAATCTTTGTAGGGCTCCATGCTAGCATGCTATGGGCCAAGTATTAGCCCCCTAGGCCTTCTAGTATTTGAGAAGAAGTTTTTTAAATGAAAAGTTTACGGACAACCCACAACGCACAGCGGACGACGGACAAAGCACGAAGGCGAAGAATTAAAATGTCTGCAATTGTGTATTAAAATATATTTCATAGAAGAAAAAAGGTTTCAGACATATTCAGATCTATATTTTTTTTCGTACTGATGCACACACGTATTTCATGGAAATAAAAAAACTTGTTTTCATCAAGTGATACCATATAATATATACGATACTAAGTGACCCAGGTCCATATCTCTCATTATCAAAGTCAATGGTGATGTCTAGAATTGTGTTCACTCAACCATAAATTTCATCAAATTCAGTTTCATATGTTAGAATTTAATGTGAAATTTAATAATGAATGCATCAAGGGTTCTGCCATGTGTTTGACAATATGCATGGCTCTCCTCTCTTAATTATGATGGATCTTTTTGTCCGTTTGGAAAAGAACCGAAAAGTAAAGGGGGATCACTCTCACAATACAAACTGAATTTTGCTGTAAATTGCAATAGATGCAATAAGATTTTTTAAATAAAGTTCAAAGGAAAATAAATGACCGAGTTCCAGATGGAGAGAAGGAATGACAAGATGATATTTATAACACAAATCTCATTGAACAGACACAGCTGAAAAGTTGTCACTTTTCTTTGAAAACAAAACAACAATTATTGTAAATAATAAATAAAGCAAGTAAAATCATTCAAACAAGCAACCATATTTGGCACACCATTCAAATAACAAACACTATAATTGGTTACGCTGTAGATCTGTATATAAAGTTAGTTGATCTATATGTACATTTCCAAAGTGTATTCTCTATTTGGCCTAACCAACAAAATTGATATTCACATTTCAGTCAAGTCTGACAATCAGCTGGTCTGCTATTTCATCAATTGTTAGAATGTTTCACTAGTGTGGAAATTCCAAATGAATGTTGTTTATTATTTTTTTAAGTAGGGTAAATAAAATTAGATGTCAAAATGTAAATATATGAAATAATTTTCTTCTTCTTGTTTATGAAATGTAAACTTCATTTTTTTAACAGATATTTCAACATACCGTGCTAACACCTGTAATTCAAAATATTATTTTTTTAAAAAATGCAGTTTACACATCAGCAAACAACAAAAAAGAAAAATCATTTCTTTAAAAACCATAGCAGACTTTAATCAGGAACAAATAATCAGTCATATTGTGCTGCAGAAGACAGCTAGGCACAAAAGAAACATGTTTCCTTGTACTTTTTTTTTCAAGACTCTGTCAATAACTCAGTCAACAAAAGATAATTTTTTAAATATCTCGGTAGACCAAGGCCATGTACCAGTTTCTTTATCTGGCGTGGATTGCCATAGCTCCTGAAATAGTTACGACAGACAGATATGAGACGAGGAGGTTGGCAAGCCTTCTTTTTCAACATTGTCACAATGTTTGCTTGATCTTCTAGCTCAGGAACTTCTCCCCTGTGAAGCCATTCCTCTGCGTTAATGTTGTATCCTGCTGAGAGCAGTAGGTATACAATATCTATGCAGTTCTTGTACACAGCTAGGAACAGAGTAGTCTTTGGAGAATTGAACAGCGGTACTGGGGAATTACTGTGGGAATGCTGGTTAGTGCCAATGCTATTCACCTCCATTCGCACGTTTATTCCGAGAAGTATTTTCACAATCTCCTTGTGGTTTCCATATACAGCATTCCATAAAGGTGAGACATTAATAGAACTTCTAAGGTCAGGATCTGCTCCATATTCCAGAAGTAATTTCACCGTATCTGTCATACCATTGTATGTAGCATACAACAGGGCAGTGTCATTGTCTTTATCCTGGTTATTAACATTGCAACCCAGTGGTAACAACATCTCTACTGCCGCTGGGTGGTCACCGTGACAAGCCAATCCAAGTGGAGAATTTTTGTCACATGTGACCTTGTCGTGTTCAACCCCTTCACATTCTAACAATACTTTCAGCATGGCTGTGTGACGATTCCACGCTGCCATGTGCACTGCATTATATCCCTGAAGAGAGCTCAAATTAACGTCTGCACCACCCTTAGCGAGAACTTCCACCACATGAGTTTCACCTTGATTGGCAGCGACAACTATGGGAGTCATCAGATCACCAGCCAATCGAATGTTTGGATCGGCGTTAGCATCCAATAAAGCTTTTACCACATTAGCATTACCTGAAAAGACATTAATATGTTGTTTACAATCTGATTCTGTATAGCTGGAAATATATCTTATTTCGCTATATTCACAGCCAATATAGATAGCGTAAAATTAGTAAACATTTCTACAGTAAATGAAACTAAATATATGCTATACCTGTATATATGGACACCAGCTCATAGTTGAACATGTGTTTTAACACAACTGTGGACTACTACATTATTATTTACTCTGAACATGATACAGCAAGATACATTGAATGTTTTTATGAATAATTACAAAATTAAACTATCATCCTATATAGAGACTTTGTAAATTCAAAACTTTTAGTGTGGTTACATGTTAAGTTATTTTCAAATCACAAAAATTTTATGTGAGAAAATTAATGAATTGTCAAATCAATATTTAAACAATCTTTTGATTAGTGAGAATTCAAGTCATACAAATAAACCACATCACTTTTAGATCAAGGTCTATCTTTTTTTTTATTCTTACTTTACAGAAAGCTAACTCAAAACAAAAAAACACATCATGAAATAACAATATGTGGAAGTGCCTTGTCATTCTAAGAACAGCTTCTACTGTGTTTTAATATCAGTTGTGTATGAAAACATGAATTAATGTATAATACTCATTTTCACTTATTATTCTCATCGATTTGAATTGGCAACATTTAAATACAAGATGACAAGAATTTCGACTATTGGCTGACTTCCACTCACCAACATACACAGCAAAGTGCAGAGCTGTCTCATTGCGAGGATTTCTATAATCAACATCCACACCCTTTTCAAGCAGTTTGGAAACATAGTCCATTCCTTTAGTGGCAGCGATCATGAGTAGACTAGTTTCACCGTTTCTGCTCGTGCCGTTGACATCTGCTCCAGCATCTATCAGCATGTCATATATCTCTTTACTTTGCCAACGAAGACATAGAGAGGCTGGTGTGTCTCCATTAGCACTCTTTGAATTGACATTCACACCAGGCAGTTTTAAAATGTTTCGTACCAGTGTTATCTTCTTCTGTTGCACTGCCCGCATTAAAGCTGTTATTTTTTCGGTAGTACAAACAGCATTAACATCAATATCCTGTGTGAGGAGGAAATCAGCTGCTTCTGCATTTCTCAGAGTCACAGCTATGTAAAATGGTGAAAGTTTCAACAATGTTGTTTGTTGTTTGAACATACAGCCATGGGATGCAAGCAGTCGCAACAGTTCTACATTATTAGCAGAGGCAGCTATATGAAGAAATGTCAACTTCACAACTGAAACTTTGTGATCACCAGAACCAATATAGGGACATTTACACTCCCCACGGCGTATTACCTCTGAAATGTTGTCAATCATTGGTTTCGACTGGTGAGGCTCCTGTATAAAATGGTGCTCAATTTCTAGTCCACATCTACACCGTGAACCAACACCTGAAACAAGTTTTTAAAATAAGCAACTACATATACATCACTTTATTGGTTCTGCCATAATTTATGATATCCCAATATTTATTTCATTTCTGTGATTGCTGGTAAAAATCACTTGTCATTTCTATCACAAGTATTTGTATAGCAGACAGATTCAACTACATTGATGAGAATTGTGTAGTAAATGTAATTTTTGATAGGTGAGTACTATGACCTTAATTGTGAAGTAGAAATATACTTTTCCTTTATTCAATTTTTTTTATGGAATCTAGGTGACTATTAACTTACAAAACTATAATCACCATGCCCATAATTCAAAGTTATGTTAATTTTTCATTCAATTCAGATTTTAAAATATGAATTTAATAAACTTACTAATTTCAATTTCTTTTTCGATGAGCTCTTCATATTTCTTGACAAGCTCCATACAGTCAGCATCCCTGCTCATTATGCTTTCATACAACTCTGACTGGTACCTCTTGATTTCTATCGGAAGAAAACATGAGTTCCACCTAAATATCATGAGGTATGCATAAAGCAAACAAAATATAAATATGTTATATATGAATGCATAGCTGTGTCATTAATCAGACTATAAATGCCAATGCATGGCAGTTCAATGCTTGTACACAAATTAACTTTTTTTTTCCAAATATACACTTTTTTTCTTTACTGATAGCATAATTCTTTAGAATGAACATGCATTTTGACAAAGTACAGTCATTTTTATTATTATTATCATTATTACATTCTTAATGGCCCGTTAACACATGAAAGGTCATTAGGGCCATCAACGGGTAAAACATATAGCAATCCAAAAAGGGAATAACATTAAACAAACTACAACGTAAAAGAAAACACTAAAAATCTTAAATGGGTATATTATCACAAAAGATTAAAATGATATGTCATAGTCTATGTTATACATGAACATCTTTCAGATAATCTAGAATTTTACAAATCTCAACAGTTTCAAAAATGGTCTATAGACTTGTAATATGGCTATCACTTCATGATGACATGATGAAACAAATGTTGGTAATTCAAGAACATTTCTTTCACTTTATTATCAACAAAAAAGGGGTTTTAACACAAGCACCTGAATGCAAAATATCAACCAGTACCATATATAATATTTATCCCACCATTTTCCAATGTATATCATATCCAAACATATAGATCTACACCAGTTCAAAAGAAATGTTAACCAAATCTATTTTGCTGTTCTGTAATTAGCCAACCATCTAGTTTGAGTTATAGTCTATAGGTTGACCCTGTGTGACTGTTGTAACCCATACATCAATGAACTACTGACCAGAACAAAGTTCAGTGATATTTTACACATTATGGCCTTTCTTTTTCAATTCACTCACCTATCACATTCATTTTCTTTCCTATATTCATCTTTAGTATTCTCCTTAGATGTGATATTGTGTAGCTTTCACTTCAGAAAAAGATCTGTGAAAAAAAAAAGATAATATTTTTGTGACAATTTTTTGATCAACACAAAATGAAATTTACAGAATATGCAATAAAGGCAAAGTAACTGCAAAAGAACTACACTGAGATTCCAACCAGGGACCTCTAAACTCAACAGGGATCCTTCTGCCAATTGAGCTATCCATAAACTGAAAGCATTTAAGGAAATTATACATCAATTCTAAGGCATTTGTTTCTGGCAATATCATAACTGGTTGCCAGAGTAAATCTTGTTAGTAGATTTCAGTTTTAAATTTCAATTTCAACAATTTACTCTTGATATTTATTACCATCAATGACTATATGAAACTGATGTCATTTCTCTCTTCTAATGGAAATATGCTGAAAATAGTTTTTATCAAATTTTATATCATAGGGACAATAGAACATGGTGTCCTGGTAGATGTGATCACTAATGCCTCAGCATGAGTCACCAAATGCAGTCAAGTGTGAGCAGCAGACTGCTCATTTCAGTATGGGGTTTGACTCCAACTCTGCACAATGTCTCTCCTGTTTGCTATCCCTATATTTGCACAATGGGTATCAGGCATTCCTAGAGGACTGGGCGGATATGGAGAATAATTATTTGTATTTCTTTGTATACAGGCTGGTACATATGTATTAAATGTTATAATGCCTTGGACACAAAACCCAGTTATCTGGAATGTATGTGATATTGCTGTACTACTCAAAGAAAGATTTTTCTTCAATCCATGATTGTGACACAGAACAACTTCTCATAACTGTCAGCAAAACCATGACAATATCCAAAATGGATCATGTCCGTTTTTAAGAGAATTACCTTAGTACAATTGTTCCCCAGATTTACAAATGGATGCATTATGTGTAAATCAAGCATACATAGCATACTTAATGTTCATGATCGTGAATCACCATACAGTTTCCTTCACAAAATGTTAGATGGACAAAAGCATTGTGGTGGTTCTTCCACATCAGCCATCTCATGATCTGTCCTCATATCTTATTTATAGTGAAATGTAGGAATCCAGAGGAAACTTGGGCTACTCAATAAAGCGTAGAAGCAGAAATATATATGAAACTTGTAAAGGTTTAATTACTCAAAAATAAAAAAAAGTGTTATTTTGGAGATGTTTGAGGAAAACCATCTTAGGAAAACTAATGTGCCATCAGTGTGAAAACAACTAATCCAACAGACATCATCCCAAACTTGGGGAAAATAGTCTGAAGTGCACACCTGATTGCACACATCATGACAGTCACTGTCTGCTACCAAGTACCCTGTAGCTACATTATATAGATAAATGTCGCATGCAGTTAAATAACACATTTACTACAGTATTTCTACATTATCAAAGTTGAGACTGACACTGAATGATAAAACACATGCGGTTACATATTGTATTTATAAAGTGTAGGATTGAGTTTATACAATTACACGTACTTATAATTGTAAATGGGCTAGGAAAGGGAGAGAACAGGTGATGGTATCAGAGCATAATAAGCTTTCGTAATGATAACCTGAACCTGCTCCAAATAAGAAGAACATGACATCTGTCTTTCTGTCTAGGGGGCACATGTACATGTCCAAGTCTCTTTCAGTGAAAAAAACACATGAATTGGACTTTTTTTACATAAAATTCCTATTATATATATCAAATATTTTCCTAATATCCTACCTACAGCGAAGGATCTGTATTTCACAAATAGAACGTCATCCGATTCATGTGGAAAAAAAACAGTACCAACATCGATATAATTGTTAAATACAACTCCCGTGGCATGACTATCAAGCGAATACTTGATTTTTTTTTAACAATATTATCACTGGAACTTATATCATTGCCCTCTGTCAATCCTGTTGTCCATTGTGCAATAACAAGTGAAGCTATTTTCTAGTGCGACGCAATACATTTCCACTTGTATTTTTGGGCTGCCCCACTTGGCGAGGGAACCCAAATGCTAAGTGCTTAAATACCCAGTAAGGCTATTGTAACTAAAACTAAACTGAAGGAATAATTCATCAACAGCCAAGATGGATATGAAGATTGCGTAACAGTGCCGTGGGTTCTGTTAATGGGCAGTTACTTACAAAATGCATGTTGTCGTTTTGACAAGTCGTGATCGTCGGTCAAATAGGAGAACTTATTCAAGGCGGATAACTCTTTGGCCAATAATGGAAAATATATTATATTGCTTATTTTTTTCGAAATCATACATAAAGACATACAATTAAAATAAATAACTTCTGTGTAATATTTTGTACCAAAATAACATAGAACGGAAATCAAAGAATCTGCACTAATCACTAAAATTATTTCTCTTTTGTAAATCGAAAGTAGCATGCCGCACTTTCGTATTTTTCCTGTAAAATCCTGAAATCAGAGACAGCTTACGCATGTCATACACATGTGAAAGAATCCTGTGTCGTCATCATTGAATGACCTCCCTTTGTAAACTTGGCCAATAGCATTGTTTATTTTTTTGGTCTTTTAAGAGGTTTATCGCAAAACGTGCACAACCTACTGTAGAGGTATTCTCTTATTTTCAAATGAATACTTACACTCAGTTGTGCCTATCCTATACATTGTCATAATAAGAAAAGACACTTATTTTTCTCACTGTCTGGCTATTTATATATCATGAAAGCGTTTGTGCTTAACTGCAATCATTATATATATATATATTAGATATTTTTGACGCAAACAATAGTATTGAGTCTATGTGAATATGATCGAGGAGCGGGTGCGTCAAAATTGGTGAGTTGTCTCCCTGGCGAATCTATAAATATGATTTGCATTTAATCAACGCATATGTAATAAAACCTATCAAAGATCTTCCCTCAGTTTTATTTGTTTAACCGAATCCAAGAGTGTCTTTATTATACACACCTGGCCAAATCAGATGATTTCTTCGTATATTGACTATAGTGATGTGTTCACTCATATAGGACGTTGAGTCAAACAATTTAAAAAATATATATATATATAGCCCATGAAAGAGATGGTTTTGTTCACACCTGTCCAGTAAACCAAAGGGGTTCCCATTTGGGGTTTTACTGGCCCGTCCTTCGAAATAACTGACCATATGCACTCCTATAATAAAATGTGATTTTTTTATTCAACAGATATTGTTGAACTGAATTGTAGCACTCGGATTGTTCCATGTTACCGCTGAATGAAGGCAACATTCAAAACGTGTGGTTTTCAATTATCTTTATATAAATGCATTAATATGGGTACATTTTACCTCGGATTTAAAATGCCAGCGGATACTGGTACACAAAGGCTCTACTCCTCTGTATTAACATGTCACCTGCTTTATCAAGCTACTTACTGCTGATGTTGTATTCATGTGTATAACGTTTAACCCCGAGGAAATATCACTTAGATGACTGGCTACTCATAACATGGTTTGTCTGCTTATCCTTACACACTCCTTGTTATCAGTACTTCCGAAGTACTTTAATCTTTGTCAACTTTCATATGCAAGTTCCACTTGGTCTTAATTATGCATAATAGGACTGATTAAAAAAACAGTATTTCCTACAGGCAGACATCTTGGATTCTGATATATGAGAATATTATTTTTATTCGCTATTTTATGAGTAGCACATTCGTAAATATTCACGTTTCATATCAAAGCTTCCGTCCCTTGCTACTTATAGTTGTACCTGTTTTTATGAAATCAATTGGATAGTAGCAAAATGGCCTACAGATACTTACTGTTAGACAGTGCTCGAAGATTTCGTTTAACGCTTTAACGATCTCCTGACAAAGATGAGTTCATAACCCTGGGATACACTTATCATAAGTTGTGCACGTTTTAATGCAAATTTCATTCATTACCAATCGAAAAATCAACATTCTATGTCATTTTGCTGAGACAATGAACAACTTCAAGTAAGGAGTGTTAAGGGATGTGAAACAGCTACCCTTTAAGGGCACATGCCAGTAACCCCCATCCGGAGGGAACAAAAGACCCATTTTACCATAAGAGAATTACGCTTGCCAAGGTCACATGATGAACCAATCACAAACCATTACATTTCATTTACATGAGAGAAATAGACAATAATGACAATTTACTATACAAAAAATAGTAAAATTTGACCCCCTCCCCGGGTCCAGCGGCTTATCATCCGCTAACAATATTTACCTGTGACATTTCTGTAAGTACAGGCGAATTGTTTTAAAGAACGTGAAAGTTTATCACATTTCAGTGGTTATTAAGGAGGTATTTCAGATGCCTATGTAGGTCATCCTGACCCTAGGGTCAGACGACCTATGGAATGATAGAATATCATCTAGGATCAATTAAGAACAGTCGATCATGTTCATCATAACCCTCCTGAGCTCACTTCTTAGATACTAAGTCATTAATCAAACGTATGTAATCCTGGTAAATACTAGCCGCAATATACCTGGCGACTGAAGAGATCTTCTCTATAGCTCTATCGGTTGAGTGCCATACTAGTAATTCGGGGATACAGGGTTCGATTCATAGCGGAGGCATTGGAATAAATAATGACCTCTGTTTTATTGTTCATGTTGTCACGTGACTAGCTGAAACACTGACACATCGGTCACAAATCTCCGATCCTTTCTACATTGAATATCCATTCATTCAGAAATTATATACAACCTTAGTCTAGCCAAGGACTAGCTGGATATCATAAGTCTATTACTACTTAAATACGTTTACAATTTATACACATATGCAACCTTGAATACAGGCCAAGGTCATGACTTTTAGCAAATATTTAAGCCCTCGTTGCCATCCAATGCAAGCTACTGGCTAAATATTGTGACTTCAAGACAATCTGCAGGAAAAGGCGTTTGACATGTTCTTTTTATTCCATCAACTTGAGCACAATGACTTGGATCAATGCTTTTTTGGCAGGAATACCAGACATTGATGACGTCTTGCAATCTGTTTAGCATCGTATATATTGGAATAATTGTCCTTCAAAAGTAATCCAACGATTGGTTGACAAATTTGACACTTGACTTCCTGTTGGATTCACAGTGCATCATTCTTGTACTTTACTGGTAGAGCCTACTGCTGGTAAAGATATGACTAGCTCGTGGAATATATACGTTTCTTCAGAACACGAGGGCTCGATACAGTTAAAGTAATATTACGTTAATTTTCTCCACAAGAAGTCTAGCATTTAAACATTTAACAGTTACTTCAGTGATCTTGAAAATTAACCAACGTAATATAAATCTTAGCACAATTTCATTTCTCAGCATGTAACGCCGAGGACAACTCACTCTCAAATACCACAAACGTGGTACCAATATCACACGCCAATTCGGCAACTTAGACACGGGGTTACTACTTTTATATAGAAATAATTAATTTTCTCGTACGTGTTTAAAGGGACGATTTTTTAAAAGTAATATCACGTGGTTTCAAACTTTGTGTGTAAGACGGCCTTGTGTTTTAGTGGATGTGCATGGCTACATCGGCATATATCTGCTTGTGTCACGATTCGCACGCACGAATCCTGCGCCTCGACTAAAAGACATATTTGAGCTTTGCGCTACCTGAGATCGAAGGTCATCGCCTGTCTGTGAACGCCCTGTAATGGCGAGTTGGATGAATTTTGATAGGTAAGACATGAATTTATTAAAATTATTTTTAATAATTTATTGATATTTCAATGACTTTTGAAAACGGTTCACGTGTAACGAAAAGCACTGGAGTATAATATTTCATTTTATCTTCAATTTATTGGCGACATGAACATGCATTTATAACGGTAAATGGTGCTCCGCCTCTCAAATATCAATATTTGTACAAACTCTGATCGCTATTGGAACGTTAATTGTTCGGTCTTCCTTCAGTCCGTTCGTCCACGATAACCTTGTATCAGATCAGATCATATTCATTCCATAACATCGCCCTTACCAAGGTCTGCATATGATCATATTAAGGTGATCACTGGTCAAGGTTTAAGGTCAAAGGTCACCATTGACCATCATGAAATAAAAAGCTTGTGTACTAGAATCACTGGAAAGATTTAATTAATATTCACAACATAGCTTCACCCCAACACAATATTACATTTTGGTGGTCATTGGTCAAGGTTAGGGTAAAAGGTCACTGTTGTTTTCTTTTGAAATAATAAAAAAAAACCCGCGTGAAAGATATTTCAAAAGCCTCGTAATATATATATACCTCAATAGATTTATATCAGAAGATGAGGGATAGAGGTACATCTATGTAAGCACATCTTGTTCATTTATTATTTCAGAGATGAACGTCAATGGTATTACAGAACGAGCGTAAAGCTAGAACCAAGAGTACCGCCGATATTACACAGTTCAAAGGTCAATAGTGATGTCAACCAAGTTATCCACAAAGAAACCTTATACGTTAGTTGTGAACCGAAGATCGATGGTTTTTGTCAATCAAGCTTATCATCTGACGGAAAAATTGCCAAAACATCCCAAATTGTATATTATTCCACAAAATACACTTCTTGTAAATATACTTATGTTCAATCCGATGAAGGCAGGCCACCAGTATATAACAACGAAATTAACGTGCGAATTCCATTCTCAGAATTTACAGAAGTTTACCACTCACGGGCAATCCAGATTCCGTCACTGAACAGCCAGTCTGACGTCATAAGTGATGGTGATGTATCTAGTTACAGCGAAAACAATACTTTAACCGACGACACAGTCGATTCTCCACAGTTTTCAGGAAATCCTTTGACCATGTCTACCCCAATTGTCTGCAGACATTTATCGGAGAGAAATCCGAGAATTTTTGAAAATGATTCCATCTCTTACTTGTATGAATTTGATTCCTTAGATTCATTATTTAGCAAGGATTCGACAATATCTGGAGATGACGTCACAGACTACCAAAACCCACAGTATAAAAATGAGGTACTCATCCTAGGGTTAAACAGTAGAAAAAAGAGGTATGCTAAAACTACATCCTTTTTGAAAGGGATCCTTAAAAAGAGATCCCAATAAAATCACAATTTTAAACATGTTCTCTTCTCTTTCTAGTGTCTTGTTAATCAAAGTGACGGCGAAAAATTATTTACCGAATTTACAATTTGACCGTCTTGGTCATACCATGGACTTACAAAGTGACCAAGGGCATTGTTTTGTTATCCCCCCTCCCTCGGGACGAATGTTGGTAAGGAGATATGGAGGTGTGTCTGTACCTTCAACAATTTCGGTCAACCTTCACATTCTTCTGAATGACATACTCTCGCGAATTAATCTTGCTTTTATCCCCCGGAATGTGTTAGGGCCTTATCCGTCGTGCGTCCCTCAGTCCATGTGTCCGTGGGCTTTTCCGGGCTATAACTCCGAAATCGGTCACTTTAACTTCACAAAACTTGCTGTATATATATTAATTTAGTGCCCTAGTTGTGTCTTTTGCTATTGACGACATCTCATTTTTCATATTTTGTGTTACCATGGAAACATTGCCAAAAACACAAAATTAATGCTTACTTTCCTTTCCAGACTACATCATCAAAACCGTTCTAATCAGCACAAGAAAACTTTCTGTATACAAGTGTATATAAGGTTAGTGCCCTGGTTGTGCCTTTTACTATTGTTAACTGTTCTTTTTTATATATATATATTTTGTGTTGCCATGGAAACCATGCTCAAAAATGTATTTTTTCTATGAAAACTACAGTAATGTCTAAAAAATACTTTCTCCCCAGAAAGAAATATGCGGCTCATTTTTTTCAATTCAGCTATGAAATAACTATAACAAATAAATGAGTCGGACAGATTCGAGCAGACAGAAAACCTAATACTCAGTAACACCTAAGATTTTACTGTCTTGTGTACAAGAATTACATGTATATCCGTTCCTACTTGGACTTTCAAAAATATTAGGGGATTGAAACCAAAGGAACATTTTAGAAAAGAATTTTTTGATTGTTCATGCATAAGCAGAAAATCTGTATAACTTGGTAAAACCCATCTGATGGCAGTATGAGAACACTTCAGCAGTATTTGGTTCATCACAATGGTGTGTACTGCCATCCCATCCTTCTGTACACATGTCCCATCCTGTTTCATGCTTAATCAATTTCATATGGTAAGAACAGATCTCAACAGATTTTGTTCATATTTACTCCAAGTATCATAACATCTAGTTCAACACCTTGTCATATCAAGATGTTGGTGGCAATTAGTTAAGATTTTAAGAGGTCACATTTGACAACTTCAAATTCAAATTCATAAAACAATGGTATTTGCATGAATTGAAAGTAGGGACATTCATGTTCTAATTTCAAAATATTACTCATACTTGATGGATTTATAAAAGGTGCTTTTTGGTCTGTCAAATTTTCTTATTATGCATACCTACTTAGACAAATTTAATGAAAAGAAGCTAAAAATGTTATATCGTTATGACGTTTCCATGACTACAGGATCACCTTCATCAGACAAATGACCAGAATGAAGCATACTAATACATAGTCTACAGGATGGTAATGAATCAACAATTTTTTTTGACTGTTCTATAATCCTATGTACACTAAAGTAGAAAACAGTGTGACAATGTAGTAAAAAGGTCATAGAAAAAAAGTCATTGTTGATATCAAAATCCATACTGCAAATGAATAAAATCAAATGATCTAGTCAGCATATAAATATTTTACTTATGATAGATCAATCTATATGAATGTACATGTGAATGTTAATGCCAATATTAAATAAAAAATTCATTCTCATTTACAAGAAACATGACCATTACATAAAACACTTATAGTCATTACAGTCATAACAATGGCATTTTCAAACAGTGTCAAGCAAAATCATATTTCACTAATATAAATTCAAAACAGCATTCATAAGAATAAAAATGGTAGTCTCTGAGTGACAGGTATTGTGATAGTCCCATCATTTCCATTCAACAAGATGTATCCCCAGGTAAGAAGAACATTGTTTATTTTACATCCAGTTGTGTATGTCTCCTATTTTCATTTCAAGCTCTCATTAACACCCCAGGCAGCATGGTCTTGTTGACGAAGAGTCTGCTTCCTAGTCTTGTCCTTTGGTAGCAATTCATCAATATCATAATAAACTGGAAAAAAATAAATAAAAATCACTTACATTTTTCACATTATCATTTCATTTCAGGATTTTAATAATTTTTTTTTATCAATTTTCCTTTATTCAAAACTTCTCATTGATATACAACGATTTCTATCACCATCAGTTCCTTCTGCATTAATAAATACAACAGACTGATAAAGTGATATAATTTCAATCTCATTCCAAAATTCTTGGTATGAAAAATACATCAGTTCTATATCCCAAACAAGAAAACAATGCATCACTGATTCTCTTCAGAGAGAAGCCCTTCTTGGCAAAAATTTAAAAGCATATGAAGAAATACTGAAATACCTTTAATATATCACACATTTGCAATAACAGAGAGCTGGTATTCAGTTTATAATACATTACAAGAATTTTTCCAAAATCAACATTTTCCCCTTTTCAACATACTGTCAGATGCTCTGATCAAAATGTTACTTACGTTTTGAAAACCAAGGCAGCTGTGTGTACACCCTCTTCCTGAAGTCTGGAAAAATTATTCATAGCTATAGCAATTCCTAAAACTATCAGTACCAATATGTAAAAACGCAAAGAAAGTAATTATAATTATACTCATAGCTATAAGGTCTTCATCAGGACCTTGCGATTCCTAAAACTAATGATATAAGCAGTACCATTATAATGTATTTGTCTCTAACTGCCCTGCATACCTCAGGTATCCATACTCAACGCGAACTACCCATCCAAAATACCCTCCGAGATCCACCTGACGTTGGCTCCTCCGCTATAGTTTCTAACGCAAAGAAAGATAATGCAAGCAAAGGTTCAAAAGATAAAGGTATTTTCAGGGATTTATACGACTGACCATGTTGACTTCTAAAAAACAACAGCATCCCTCTAACCGACATCTTTTGGTTAATATCTCTACCATCTGGTGTTTAGATATTCAACTAGAAACTTCCTTAAAAAGAAATTCCCAAGGGCCTGTATCACTCACGATGATATTTCATTAATCCTTTATGACATTTTAATTTACAGTAATTATAAATAATTTCTCCTTTAGTTCTGCTTCTCAGAACTAAGGGTAATCAACATTCCTTCTGCTATAATGTTCCAAGATATTAGTAAAACATAAATATTAACACCATGGCTTTACAATAAGAGATCGTGAGACAAACCCTCTGTTGAATAATGTTCTAGGATATTAGTAAAGGTGATATGCTAAAACCAAGGCTTTACAATAAGAGACAGTGGGACAGACCCCAGTTGAATAATATTCAAGAATAATATAAAACATTATACAATACTTGACATGTACAATCAATAACGTTGACATTTATACTGATATTACATACCTTGATCTCTATTCATCCTCTTGTAACCTATGTATGTGGCTATTACAAACGCTACCTCACTAGCAGCAGCAATGCCGATGACGATCTTTGCTTTGGCAGACAACCCATATTTCCGAGGTTCCTTGATGAGCATCTTGGATCCACTAATCACTAGATACCATTACACGATCTACATAACAAAAACATACATCAATATTGTTGCCAGACATGAATGGATTGATCATAAAATTATGTCATATGACTAGGCTTTGAAATCGTCTGAAGAGAATCTCTTAAGCATAAGACCCAGAGGTATTTTCAAGAACATGTCTGGAGAGTATTGCTTTACAGATTCTCTTAGGATGATTTCAAAGTCAGTTCCACTTTCCAACCCTGAGGATGACTTCTCTCTGCATCCTGATCAAAGTCCCTTCAATCCCAAACTATATTTCTACTAAGTGATCATCATTGCAGTTAGTTTAAAAAATAAACCTAGATGTAAGCAAAAGCATAGGTTTGTCCCAAAAATTTTATTATAGACATAGTATATTACAAGTAGCTAGTAATGTAAACCTAATTAAAAATTGTTTGGCTAGGTTTTTTTTTCTTTGTTTTAGCTAGGTCAATGGTCAAAATGTAGGTTGGAGTGTCCTACTTTTGATGCACAACACCTACCTAAGGTGAATCTGTAACCCTAGTATGGAGTTCTGGTGACAATAAGTGTAAAAGATAAAAAATATTTTCTTTTTTTTTTCCCGATATAGGTCAATGATCACAGTGACCTACTTTTTAAAGCAACACACACTCATGAATGTAAACCTATGTACCAGGTATGAAGTTCCCATGAGTAGTTGTGTATGAGATAGGGCCTAGACAAGATAGTCGCATGACAGAAGGACAGATGGACACAACACAAAACTTTTGTTCCCTACGGCTCCAACAGAAGAATTTAAAAATGCAAATAAAGAGTACCAGGTACACAAAACACACAGCTATTTCTTCCTTGTCAATCAGCAACCACTTAGAGGAATCAATGTCTGTGGATGCCAGTCAACTAAAGATTACCCAAGGACACTAAAAGAAGTTCCCATCACTTCATTATGATAAAGAAAAACAATGCCCAATAAAAATGAAACAGACACTGAACGATGGTATTACTATGCCCATTCAACATTCTATTATGCCCATTCAACATTCAACTGGACTTGCATCTTTGGTACATATATGAGAAATACTCGCAAATAAAATACTTCAAGATTTCTGACTGGTCATCGTTCATTAGTCATCTACCATTGAATTATCTTCACCAGGGGTCTTGCTTTAACTTCCACATCAGGGGCCTCAATTTGGAAGACTTATCTCCCTTGGACTGCTGGCATCAGTCTAACTTTTCAAGGGCATTTTCACATATCCTATATATGTCATAATGAGAAAATGACATCTTTAAAACGACCATCACAATATATTGGGATACAGCTAATCACAGACTAATACAATGCAATGTAATATTTATCTCGTATAAAAAAATAATCAAGTAAGTAACACAGGGACGTATGATAATCATATATACAAATATGTGTGTTACAGATGCTCTTTTCGCAACAC